AACAGAAGTGAATTAGGGTATACACCCCTTATGTTGGAAGATCCAACATAAAGGAATTAAGGGGTTAATAGCCGTGAGCGCCTTTCAAAAATAGATATTTACATCTTTCAAGACTCTTTTTCCCAACCTAAATAAAATGTTTTTTTCTTACCGGTCCTATTGTGGTACTCGCTAATTCAATCTACGCGCTACGAAACTAACGACGACCAGTGTGGAATTTCCACAATATTACCGCGAAAATGGCCTGGAATCCCACGATATATACGATCAAAATAATCATATCTCGCGAGACGTCCACATCCTCCATGCCGTATTTCGTCAGAATTCCCTTTGCCGCGTCCGACGTCTCGTTCTCGAACTGCTTGAACACGAACGACTCGAACGAGTACGAGTGGAACGCCAGGTAGTAGCCCCAGATCCAGTAGTCCGGGATTGAGTCACGAGGAACCATGAAACCCTCACACAACATGAACATACCGAACACGCCGGCACCCAACGCGATACCGATAATATAGTGCGGGACGGCAGGTGCATCATCGACTCGGCCACTACCAGTGACAGGAACAGGTTCAATAGGAAATACTCGAACGCGTTCAGACCCGCCAGAAGCACCACTAGAGCCGTCGACATCGCTGCAATCAGGAAGATACCCGGTAGTGTAGCCAAGAAGTTGGCGCACACATAACTCACCACACTCAACGAGCTGTTGGCACGCTCACGAGCGAACACTGCACGCTGTTCGATGAAGAACGGTAGGACGGCCACAGACATGAACACCAGGAACGCCTGGACGTAGAACAGCAGTGGCACCAGATCCTCCTCGGTCAAGTCGTCGTTCGTGCTCAAGTACATGGTGCCGACCATGAAACTCAAGCAGAAGTACATGAACAACCGGATCCAGTAGATTCCGGGGTTGCGGATATTGTTGAGCGTGTTGCGGTACATGAGAACGCTGAACTGACGCATCGCGGACGGCGACGGCTGCTCGATGTCCGGCAGATGCTGTAACGTGTTGCGGTCACTTTCGATGCGGTCGCTCAGCTCCTTGCGGATCTCACTCTGAGCGTAAGACTGCATCAGTTTGGACACATTCGCGTGGTCCTCGAAGTCCGTGTTCACTAGACTGATAAAGTACTCGGCCGGGTTCATGTACGTGGGGCAGTCGTGACCGGCCGACGCAAAGTGCGGGATCATCAGACGACGAGGACCGCAGTACACAGTCTGGCCAGCCGACAGCACCACCACGTTCGTAAACATGTCGTACACCAGCGATGATGGCTGGTGGATCGTACATACAATGGTTTTGCCCTCGGCACACAGCTTCACGATGAACTTCATGACGTTGTGCGTGGCACTCGAATCCAGGCCACTTGTGGGCTCGTCCAGGATCAAGAGGCTCGGGTTCGACAGCAACTCGATGGCAATACTGAGGCGGCGCTTCTGGCCGCCCGAAAGACCCTTTCGGAAGATGTCGCCTACCAGGGTGTGACGGCACGTGGCCAGACCCATGGCCTCACCCACGTCGTCCACGCGTGCCTCGATCTGCTTGGACGTGACGCTGTTCGGAAGACTGAGCTTGGCGGCCATGCGCATGGTTTCCAGCACGGTGAAGGAGCCGAGCAGCGAGTCCTCCTGGGCCACGTAGCTGGTCACTGCCCGGAACGTCTTGGCCACGCGGGCCTCGCCGTTGAGCTCGATGTCGCCTGTTACTTCTCCGGAGCTAATACGGTCGGCCAGTAAGTCCACCAGTGTAGTTTTGCCTGATCCGGACGGGCCCATGATGGCCGTGAGTTCTCCGGGTGCGCATCGGCCACTGACATTGTCCAAGATGGTTTTGATGCCGGTCGGCTTGGGGGTGGCCACGGCATAACTGAGGTTGTTCCAGCTGAGTATGCACGGGTTGTTTAAGTGTTGGTATGACGGTTCCAGTTTGCCACGCGTTTCGAGCGAGTGCGATTCCAACATAGCGTACGATAAACCTCGAGCGGAACGCGGTGACTCCATGACGACGGTCATAATATGGTTTGTTAGTAACTAACTAACTTAATTAGTTGGTTTTCCTAAAGGACTACCGACGGTTGCTGCCTAGTGTAGTTTGATGAATGATAGCAACACCTTTGATTGGATTGTGTCCCACAATCGCAATCGCACTTGCGTAAGATTTCGCCTGACCAAACTCGTCGGATAGGCATTTCGAGTCAGGCGTAGCGAAGCTGGACATCATGAAAAATTTCAATGTCAATGACGAAAGGATAATATCGCAAGCTCGTTTCGAGGTATTAAAATAGAGGCCGGTGGCGAATCATTGGTGATGGCGTCGCTCGCCTTCGTTGCGTCTGAAGTGTAAGAATACCTGTCCGACATCAAATGGCACATGTAGATCGAAGCAGCGTCGTGGTGAACTGCAATTTATTGTTATACCCATGTTTACGAGTCCAAATAAGCAGGGGTTCACAACTGTCAGCGCTTAAGCATATGAAATCAAATTATAGACTCGGATGACCTAATGGCTGGTTGCGGCGGCAAAGTTGTGTGTTGGCTTGTGTAAGTCGAGGCTGGCCATACATGTACTATTTAGCTTACGCCTGATTTATAGCCTCAGCTTAGCCTGTGGTTCGAAAGACTCAATTCAAGTCAGGCGTAACCCGACAAGACACGCACGCCATGTACGTTTAGGGAGTTGCCGGCTGTAACGTCAAGTGGTCTGACCTGGTCAGTGACCACGATTTATCGGTGGTGAATGGCCACTGCAACGGCGGTACGCCGCAGTGAACCGGCTGTGCATCTTCTCGCTATGACAAGCTCCAGATCTTTTGCCTCCGACGTAATGTAGCTACGCCTGACTTTCGTGCTGGTCGTGTTGGTCAGGCACATGGCATTCAATTTGCCAAAATTGACTGGAAGTGTATGTTTGTACAAGTATTGCGGTGCCTGACCAGTGCCTGACCTCGTTCCCGTCTGTGTAGCGTCGTCTCCATCAGCGGTATCGTTACTGCAAGTA